AGTAATTCGCCCTGGGCCAGTCCCATGATTCTCGTCCCCAAGAAAGACGGATCATTTAGACCCGTCGTAGATTACCGTAAGCTTAACGCAGTAACTATTCCAGAACCGTTCCCTATTCCGAATCTCCGTCTGTTGTTGCAAGATATTGGCTCCGGAAATTTAGTTTTCTCCACTCTTGACCTGGCTAAGGGTTTCTTGCAAGTGCCAGTAGCTAAAGAAAGTCGACCACTTACCGCATTCTCTACTCACATGGGACACTTCGAATTCCTGAGAACACCATTTGGCTTACGTAATTCTCCTCTCACCTTCAGTAGATTGATGTCAATCGTGCTCAGTGGTATGATTAACGATCAGGTTATGGTTTACCTGGATGACATTTTAATATGTTCCCCATCAGTCTCTGAACATGAGAAAAAGTTGCGTCAGGTATTCGAACGTCTAGCAAGCGCAGGGCTAACCATCAACCCTGGAAAGTGCCAATTCTTTCGGTCAGAGCTCGATTTCTTAGGTCATACCCTAACGTCCAATGGCATTGCACCCAATCAGAACAAAGTACAAGCCGTGATTGACTTCCCCAGACCACAAAACCAAAAAGACCTGAAGTCCTTCCTTGGTCTTTCCGGTTTTTATAGACCATTTATCAAAGATTACGGATCTATTGCGCAACCCCTCACGACGCTGCTTAAGAAAGACGTACCCTTTGTGTGGGCCAAAGAGACAGAGGATTCCTTCCTGCAACTGAAGGCATTGCTAGCCAACGCACCTGTTCTGGCCTTCCCTGATTTTGAGTTGCCCTTTGTGCTCACGACTGACGCGTCTAGCGTAGGATTAGGCGCAACACTTCACCAAAAGGTAAATGGCAAGCTGCGCCCCATTGCCTTTGCAAGCAGGACCCTCAAACCCGCAGAGCGGTCGTATCATACTACGGACCGTGAACTCTTAGCTATCACCTATGCACTCCGTCACTTCCGGGAGTTGATACTCGGTTATAGATAGAAGTACACACCGACCACTCCGCTCTCACGACCGCCCTTCACGGCAGAGATCCCCATGGAAGACGGGCACGTGCCATAGAAGTCTTAGCCGAATACGACGTAACGATCGTCTATTTACCTGGCCGGCAAAATGTCGTCGCGGATGCTCTCTCCCGCGCACCCTTGCCATCCCCCGCGGAATTACAGGCCTGTAAGTCCACCCCTTCCCTCCTAGCTTTGCTAAACGTCATGAAGCCCGAACCACTGCGCCGGTGTTAGCTAACGTAGCTAACCAACCTGTGGACCCTCCCTCCGAGGAAGAAATTCGCCGTGCGCAACGCGAGGACCCCGTTTACATGGACATAATTCGCCGTG